GAAGACAAAGAGTGTACACACCGACGCCATTGTGATCAATTCTCAGCCATGTCACCAAGAGTCTCCAACCATTGGTTACGATAATCACGCGGACCCCAACCAAGTAGTCTGCATCTACCAGCATGGCTCAGACTACAAGTTAGTGACTTCAAGCACTGATGCCACATTTTAGTTTGGCCGCCCCTAACTTTCTTCCAACCATCCCGAACACCGGTTAGCATCGCACGTCGTGGTAATCGGTGTTTGGGCATACGTAACACATGGCCCAACCATCTCAGTCGATGATGATTCACAACCTCATCAACTGATTTACTATCATTCCCTAATACCCTGCGTCTAACCTCCCTATTACTTACCCGGTGATCCCAGCAGACGCCAGCGATATTTCTGAGGCATATGTGGTCAAATACTAGTAGCTTACGAGTGTCTTCTACTCTTAATGGCCATGTTTCGCTGCCGTAAATTAAAACAGAACGGACTGCCGCGCAGTATACTCGTCCTTTTATTGATAGACGGATATCTCGCCTTCGCCATAGGTGACGTAAGTTGGCAAAAGCCAAACGAGGTTTTCGAATCCGTGCTGAGATTTCGTCAGACACCAACCCATTAGGGCTGATCAGACTTCCAAGATAAGTGAAGTTGTCAACGCGTTCGACTACTTCACTCCCTATCCTTAGTTCAGGTGTTGACGCAGACCAGTCCTGAAGCAACAAGTTGCATTTAGAGGGAGAGAAGCGCATTCCAAACACTCTGGCATTGTTGCTCAGCGCTACCAAAAGACTGTGCATTCTATCAGCGTCTTTACCAAACAGGACTATATCATCTGCGTATTCTAATTCGAGAAGTGGACCTCCTGGTAGGAGATCAATACCCGAGAATTCAGTCGATGAGAATGCTATTTCCATCAATAGGTCTATGATGAAGCCTTGATGGACACCACTTGAGGTTGCAAAAGTAGATGACATTTCGCCATAAGCTCTGACTCGATTAGTAGTGTTCGAGTAAAGAGCCTTTACAAGGTTTATGTACTTCTGAGGTACGCCTTTCAATAACAGACACTGCCACAGAATCTGGCGGTCTACCGAGTCAAATGCTGCTTTTAAGTCAAGAAAGACCACAATCGTCGGACGCTGATAAGTATGCCTATGTTCTAGAACCTGACGAATGGTGAATATGTGGTCGATGCAGCCATGACCAGGTCTGAAGCCAGCTTGATTCTCTCGTGTTTGCAGTTCACGAGTCTTAGTTCAGCGCCCGATAATTTTGAGGCTAGTATTTTAGATGCTATATTAGTCAAACTAATCCCTCTATGGTTGTTACAGGTTGATTTTAACCCTCTCTTATATATTGGGACGATAATTGATTGTGACCAGTCAGATGGAATAACGTCTAACTCCCAGATCTTAGCTAAAATATTAGTCAACCTAATCGCTAAAATTGAACCACCATTCTTAAAGACTTCTGGAGCCAATCCATCTGCCCTTCCTCGTTTCAGATTAACTATAGCCTTTTGGACTTCTGCTAGAGTTGAGGGACCTACTTCAATGTTCCATTCACACTATCTGGGAATGGAGAGTAGTTATAGAGTATCTGAAGGCCAGCTGAACTGTTCTCTGAAATGTCCCACCCATCGTACTAAACGTCTGGACTGAGAGCAGATGAGGATGTCGTCTTTTTCCGAAATAGTCTGACTTACACTTGACTTATTAATCCCAGTTTCTCTTATTAGTCTGTAGAGCTGTCTTGTGTCCCCTATAGCCGCCGCGTTTTCCATCTCTCTTGCTTTCGTTGCCCACCACTGCTCACGATCGTTCATTAGACTTTTGCTTAACGTAAAACTGATTTGTTGTCGCTCTTCATCGTCTTCAGAGCCTGATAGGATGAGTTTACGAGAATCCATCAGTGCAAAAGACCTTGAGGAAATCCACTGGTTCTTTGTAACCCTGTGGCTTAAATCATTGATAGATGTCACTGCTGTTTCCACAGCTTTCCAAGTAACATCTGGGCCAACCACGTTTTCAGAACTACCTAATTGTGACCTTAGTTGTTCTTGGAGAGAGATTAAAATCGCTTCATATCTTTCTTTCTACGAACTAATTCTTTCTTCCTGTACTATATCCTTATTGCAATCTTTCTTTCATATATTACCACCTCTGAATTAACTACTTTTATGAATCCGGTGTCCATCTTGTTGTGTTAATGAGGTATGGCAACTTGGACCGATGCATATATGTGCCTGGTCCTACGTTGTAGCTGACTGACTGACTGATAGCAAGCACGTGTGGATTATTCTAGCTTCTGGACAGATCAATTTATTTATTCTTCTGGAGCCATATTTTGACCATGTCAATTATTCGCTTATTAACCTTGAATGTTTTCATGAGCGTATATGTGTGCACTGCTTAGCCTACCCATCACATGCCTGTAGCTTATTGTTTTCTAACTATATTGAGTCACGCATTATCAAGACGAGTTGGCTTCCTCGCCTTCACGTTGCTTCTCTTTTCGGTTTTCCAACGACATTATCCGCTCTCTCCTTTTCGCTTCTCCGATCGCCTGTCTGGATCAGCAGGTGTACGAAATATACGTAATCAAAACTCATTCTCCATTATTTTCTAACGTGAGGTCGATAATTATGTACGACGGTAGCTAGGATGTGTATTTCAATAACAGCATCAGCTGAAACAAATATATATAGCCTAAGCCCATAAAGCGATCACCCTGAGCAAATACGCTAGCCAGCATGGATAGTAGACTAAAACAGGGATAAAGATGGTCAGATAAAGGTGCATCAGGCTTTCCAAGCAACATCTGGGTCAGCCTCGTTTTCAGAACTACGTAAGTGTGAACTCAGTTGTTCCTGGAACGTACTTTTGGTTTTCTCGTTTCTCAACTCAGTTCTAATGGGTCTTTTTAATGTGGCTTTTTTGCGTCCAGTGAGGCGCAAGCAGATGCGTGCCCGTATTAGGGCGTGGTCGGAGTCCAGGCAAGTACTCCAGAATGAGCGACAATCTTCTACCGACCCTCTCCAATGATGACTGATGGCAATGTGGTCTATTTGAGTTCATCGTTGGTTTGGTGTAGGGGGTTGCCATGTTAGACGATGTCTCTCCTTATGATTAAAATTTGTGTTTGCTAAAAATAAGCGATTGTCTGAACACAGTTTCAGCAGACGATCACAATTATCTGTTCCTTGTGCCGGAATACTAAAATACCCACCTAAATGCCTTTCTGTTTAGTTTAATCTACCTATCTGGGCATTAAAGTCACCTGCTACGAGTACTATGTCTGAACGTTTAGCTTTCTGAAGAAGTTCAGATAGCTTCCTGTAAAATTCATCTTTCATTTCATCTGAGCTGCAGTCGGTGGGAGTATAGGAGCCGTTTAGCCGAACAGCACATAAACGACTGTTGACGGGGATCCACTCTAACAATGCTTGTTTCGCCCTCATGCTTAGTGCTATCCCCACTCCTGCCAGTCCACGAGAACTGGTCATCGGGTCACCAGATCCACGGAAGGTGTATCTCGTTGGCTCTCCGTTCTGACGAGGTGAGGTCAAGTGAATGACCACACTGGAATCCTGTATGCGTGTTTCGGAGACACAGCATACATCAATGGTACGAGATTCTAGGGTCCTAGACAAGGAAGCCTGTTGACCGATTTGACATAGGGTGCGTACGTTGTAGGCTCCAATGTGTTGTTTGGAGCGAAGTTTCAGTAGACCTGGGACAGTTTTGAGCACTAGAATCGTTGGCTATGATGACAATTGAGGGGAAGGCCGAAAAAGGAAGTTTAGAGGTGAAAATCGATGTGGGAGGAATAATAGGAAGTGAAGACGGAGGTTGATTACGAATACAGTGATACTCGAAATATCCTATAGGATTTCACACAATTTTGATGAGAAGCAAGTATTACGTTTGGAAGATCACGACGTAACAAAACACACGAAATCCAGTACCTATGGAAGTTGCACTCGCGTTTTTAATGACGTAAGGATATAAACGAGAGAAGCAAAACACAGTAAAACCACTTATCGTTAATTCAATTAGTTGCTTATGTATCACATACGTGATAGTGCAGTTTTAACTGCCTTAACAGGAGCAGAAAGGTTTTTATTTTGAACTCCTAGTGGTAAGTTACAAATTAATGTGACAAGCTGTAGTCCAAGAAATCTATCCTATAAACCAAAGATGAGCATTTTTATGCATAAACTTATACAAAACGGCAGTAAAACTAATAAGATACTAAAAACCAACTCTCCAAAAATGGACACAAGCAAATAGGTTAAGCAACCAACGATGAAAACTGGCAACAATCTAGGTCAGTTTAGATTCATTTGTGCTGATCGAATCATCTTACACACCACTTCCTTAAATGCAGACAGATAATACTCTAAATCGCCTGCGTCGTAAAATGAAAAACCGAGGGAGTCGCAGTACTTTAAGAGGGTATATGCTTTTTAGTTCGTTCATAGCTTAAAACTAATGGCAAATCAAACTTCTTGAAGTACAAGCAGTACCGTTCATAGTAAGATTATATAACCACTAAAACCCTTAATTAAGCAGTTCTTTTAATTAAAGAGATAAAATTGAGTCTATACCCGTATATTCGACAAGGTTGATCAGTAGTAAATCCACTTTAAACAGCTAACTTGTCTAGTGTTGAAATAATCGGATTACTCAAATACTAGTCCATAGTTGATCATATCAAACACGATTCAAGAAACATTCACAAACCTGGCTGAATCTGTTGTTTAATAAACTACGGTTTCTAGTAAATACTGATCCTCCACATTCTTACAGTTGGGGAGCGACCAACCATAATAAACAATAGCACGAGATAATTAAGGAAAAAGTATTTTGCGCATTTTGAAATAAATGGTGATATATGTTCAGCATACGACATGCTCTATAAGCCCGAAGAATTATAATTAACTGACGAAGGAAATATTAAAACAAACAAACAAAAGTCCGAATCTTTTATTTAAAGATGCATATTACCGGTTGGATTTGGCGACACGTTCCAACTCATCCTTCTTTTTGATTGCATAGGAATTTGAGCTGCCCTAAAAATAGTGCGTGAAAATATCAATATTAACCATACTTTAGCGGCATTAAGAAGTTCGTCAGCTAGGCATTCAGATATGGTCTTAACATTTCTGAAGGCTGCTTCTCTAGCTCCGGTACACAAAAGATAAATTGCCTGGTTCACTCGTCGTAGAGGAGAGACATCAACTGCTTGACGTCGGACAGTACCACCACGACCAATACGAGTTGAATCTTCTCTTGCACCACTGTTAAGCACAGCATTGACGAGCACATGGATTGGGTTCTAAAAAAAAACACGGTTAGGTCTAGGGTTTTCAGGTCATTCTTGAAATCGTATGGATCATACGAACGAGACAAATTCATCATAATAGAAACTTAAACCACATATTAATCTTACCTCACCAGAAAGCAAGTGTATAATTTCGAACGTATGTTTTAGAATGTTTATCGCCTTGACCTTCTTTCCATTATTGCGACCATGCATCATAAGAGAACAGCACATGCGCTCCACTAAAGGACACAATGCTTTACGAAACCGTTTAACTTGATAGCGACCAGCAGTATGTGGAACGATTGGATTTCCTTTTCGCTTGATGTTGATGTAATCCTAAATCATGAACCATCGTCATAAAAATATCATACAGTTAAACTGAGATCATGTACATTCAGATCATCAGCACTCCACTTTCCGAAAAGCTTGATTTCTTGCTCGGAATCCATGATGCCAAACACGCCTATTACTAACAAAGTGAGCGCCTCACATCACCGATGACATATTCGAACAAGCGACTGGATTTTTGTGGAACTCCAAAGTTACTTGAAAATTGAATAATTTAGACTGGCTACAAGCAAGCTTCGCTTGTCAATGTTATTGTGGAATTTAAGCTTACTCAATTGTTTGTCACATACGTCAGCGATCGAAGCTTAGTTTTTAGTAATATTTCTCTCAGTTTTTCATAATACCATCGATTAGCTACATTTCACTAGACAATAAAGAGCCGTAAGCAAACAAAATATACTGTCCTACGCACACGGATGGAATGATATTATCTCCCCACCATTGTGCTTGTCAGTCAAGAACGCTACGCTCTCTGCTTCTGAGATCTTAGGCTCTCTAATGTTTGTCGCATTTTTTAAAATTGCTTTAATCCAGGCTCCGCAATTGCATGCTCCGTTGAAGTACACTGTCTACTAGTTCTATCTTACAAAAAAATCGGACAGTGAAAGCCCCTGTATTATATGTTAGATATCACACTGCTATGAAGTTAACTACTGGTGCAAATCATAAAATATTAGGGAGACAATATGTATAAATATGACACGAGTGTTCATAGTTTGACAACGCTTCAACAAGCAACACCTTTATAATCGTTTAGTCTAGGCTGGCTTATAGTTAAGAGGGACGCATTGCACAGCAAACATGTGACCGAGCGCCTCCAGATAGGTGTGCCCAACGAAACTAATGAGGTCAGTATCAATTTCAAATGCTCGCAGAACCAATTAATTTGGGGGTTTATTTACCGTTACACAACTATTGATTTAGTAAATCCCAATTTCTATGAGCCTGAGGTTTGAAAATTTCGATATTGTAGTGCAGAGGACAAGCTAGAGTCGCAGACAAAAATTCAATGACGTCGTTTAGCAAGTTTTTATGCTTTAGTGCAACACACTAGATCTCATCAACAGTCATATAGATGACCAAGATCCAAATTAAAGGAAAATGTTGTCAGATGTTCGAGCACAGTTGTCAATGAGCTAGATCTTTTTCACTAGGGTCCATTTATCAGGAATTCAGATGGACCTAAGAAATCAGGAGCAAGCAAGAGTTTAGTAGAGTACTAGCCTTATTCTCGTTATAATGTAATTGTTATTACTAATGGTCGTTCAGACAGTCTTCTAAGACATGTTACAAATATCAAATATATTGGCGAATCGTAGCAATAAACCAGTAAAGTATTTTGCTATCACCGTTCGTTCTAGGGAGAGTTCAATGAAAGTCCAAGTCCTCCCTGAAAATAGTCACTGATGGGGCTGATGCCACTTGTTCTCCAGATTTTGACATCACCCGCAAAAAATAGTCTCGACGGCTTAAGCGACGGCGGTAATTCATTAACGTAAAGAAGAAAAGTAGGGGGCATAAGATGGCGTCTTGGGGTGCGCCACTTTTGACCGTCTTCTATTCCGATAGCCTTCCATTGACCCTCACTATCTGTCTCACAAAACAAGCTTCCTATTTATTCCTGCACAGCACCTGTTATTTCAAAGTTCGACAGTTTCTACACAAAACCTAAGTGCGAAACCTTGTCAAAAGCTTTGCTAAAATATATGAATATCGCATAGAGAGACAAACCCATGTCTGCTGTCTGATTCTCTCTCCAGATAAGTAAGTGGGTTAAATATGAATGATTTTTCCGAAACCCTTGTTGCTCGAGAATTAACAGACTTTACGATTCTATGTGATTTGGTAACTTAAACACAATTATCTTTTCAGGTAACTTAACGACCATGCTAATCTTGACTGACAGGCTGGTAGTTAGATACGATCTGTCTTTGACCATCCTTAAATATAGGACTGACTGTAGTGTCTTTCCAATCTCTAGGGAGTTGAGCGAGTGAAAGGGACATGCTGAAAAGTGTCGTGAGTGATTTTGAAATATTGTCCTCAAGAGATGACAGCAGTCGTGGATGTAACCCACCACGGCCCGGCATCTTACGAGGTTTGAGGTTAGTGATCAATAGAAGGACAGTTTCCTCAGTCACAAGTACAGGTCATGTGGCTGGTATCTCATCCGTGTGATCAGGACAAATATTTGTGACAATACATGTAGAGTAGACTTCGCTTCAATTGTTTGAAAAGGCCTCAGTTTTTGCTCGATCTGATTCAGCTAGTAAGTCTGAATTTTCGTGTAACAGTAACGGGGGAATACCATCACTACATTTCATTCGCCGTTTAACATACGAAAACAATCGTTTCGGACAAGTAGAGCTACCATATGTCAACTGTCGTTCGTAAATAGTACGGTATTCGGCAATGACCTTTTTACATATATTCCGGATTTTTCGATATTCACACTTAAATGATGCGTGTCCTGTAGACAAGAATAAGTCACAGAAGTGTCTCCTACGCTTCAACAACTTCCGAGATTCCTTGTTAATCAATGGAGGGCAATGTGGCATCTTACGTGTTGACCATGGGATAAACGGTGATGATACATACTGGAATGTGGCCTTAAACTTATCCCTTTCGTCTTTGATCGATCCATCCGCCTCGACCGACCAGTCTGTTGAGATATCACAGTCTCTGATTGCCAGAATATTGGCTCTCCGGATATTTAGACGGAGTGAAATTTTCGAGCACCAACTTCAAGGCCCTTCTTGGTTGAGTTTCGCTTCTAACCCACTTACCGAGTCTTATTACTCATATGATATATACCCCTGAAACCTCTCAAACAGTAGATTCCTTACGGCAGATACCACTAACTCTACATCGTCTGCTTGTTAGCTACTGGGAGCTTACCGTCAGTTTTTATTGTAAAAGAGTCGTGAGAGTCGAGCGATCAACTCACAACAATGTTTGATGAGGCCGAACATTTTCGGCCTTCGATAGGGCTTAATCCGGGACTTTGACGGAGTAATCTGAAACCAAGAATGTGAACCCACGACGGACTTTGAAACTTAACGGGCGCTGTTTTCGGCCATCTTTCCTTCCCTTCTTCGTTTCTACGTCATCCATTTCCCACCAGTCATAGCTTCTACATAGGGACAATAACGCCTAATTTAAGCAATCAGCCGCTGCTGTAGTAACTTGAATACAAATAACCAGTGGTGTTTCACTCATTATTCGCCTCGACATAGAAACCCCTATTGCATATCGCACAGCTGGGCGTTCGGTATGTGCTGTAACAGCGTTTACGACACTGAAACATTCTGCGCTATCAGTACCCATGTTGACAGTACAGCTTCATCAACCATTTGTTAGGCAACGACAGAAAACTAATCGCCTCTTTGATGAGTAATGCCCTGCTCAAACAACAAAAGATACCAAGCCAATGGGAGTTAGGTACTGAGCACCTTTTATATGCAGTGGTATTCAGGCGAGTACAAATCTTATGGAATCACGCATTACACTCACCACATTTCATTCCTTCCTCCACAGGGAATAAGCAATATGGCAGTCCACATTTCTGAGTAGGGCCGACCATCTTAAAAATAAACCAAAAGTGGATTTGAAAAACATTTAAAACCCCAGCCGAAATAAATCAATTCAAAGTTGACTAAGTATGCTTTGATGCAATAAATACACGAAAGCCAAGTCAATGCACGCAAGTTCGAAATTACTTTAGCTGAAATAAATTCATTTGCCGATGCTGCACATTCGTATCAATAGTTGTGAGGTAAATACGTGTCTATAGGAGGATAGAAAAGATTGCGTCATAAAGTGATTCGAGACTCTTTTTATCAAATGAGGCTATATGATAAATATGAGTATTGAATTATACTATAAACTAAGAATCCCAGAAATTACGCAATTGAATCAAGAAGTACCAGACAAGCACGAACAAATGTGCTGTATTTGAAATTCAAAACCAAGCATTCAACATGTACAAGGGACTCCTCAGTTTATTCAAACACCACATCCGCCACAGCTTAAATTGGAGTCTAGATGTTTGTATTCAACCGTACGTCTTCTTCTCAAATTCATCCTGAGTCTGTCTGACACTGTGTTGGATAAGAACTCTGTATTATCTAGAATGTACTCATTAATATTAGAATTAACAACCGAAATTGGAACAGACTCACCTGGTTCCTGGTATTGTATTTGATTAACATGTCGATTGTGTGTGCTTAAGTCAATGATATCTAGAATTCGCATCATAAATTTCCCGACATTCTTCAGCACAATCCCCGTGGATGGTCGAAGATCATTTCCACGATAATGTGTTACGTCTGCAGACTCCAAACATCTCATATTCGACCGAAGAGTTATTCCTTGTAATAGCTTTGATGGAGTCTCTTTCAACACAGAATGTCTGGCGCTGCTATTTTGCAGTAGAAAATTATCTTCTCCTCTCTTCGGCACATTAAATATTGATGCAGTAATAGAATCAATATGAGTTGTTATTGAACGAGCCATCTAAAATGACCGTAGGTTTTAGGAGGTGTCATCCTTGTTGTTTGGCAATGGAGATCGAGAATATGAAATTAGGCAGGCAGTGGTCGGAAGAAAAGATACTACAGGATAGTGCATAGTTTAAAACAGGATGAGGTGTTAAGTGAAGGAACACTGAGAATTAGATCCAGATAACTATTTAGTCCTTGGTTGCATTGTTAGTTAATGTATATTTACGGCATTTACAGGTCATGTTTGCTAAAGCTTGATGTTTAAACAAGACTATGTGGCTGAAGCATGTAAATGCTATTAAAGCTTGTTAACGAACCATCTAAGCTAATAGGTAATATAGACGACCAGTTTTTACTTTCGACTGAGCTAGTATGTTATGAGAAGTAATGAATATAACATTACGATAATACATGTGAGCATTAATCAGAGGACTATTACAATAATGGGTTTACACAAATAAAAGTCGATTGAGGAAGTTAAGGTGGAAATAAGGATTAACAATAATAGGTTGCGTTTCTATAGTTGGGCTCACCAATGTTGAATTATTGTCTACTATGATATTAGTACTGCTCTAATAACAGACCTAATCCTCAAATTG